AGATATCTGTATGCGTATTTATTTATTTATTTTTTCAGTTAAAATATTTATATCCCATTGTGTGTTGACACATTGTTTGTATCACACCTTTTGTCTACATTATGGACTGCAATGCAGAGTGTAAACTGGGTATTTGAAATGCCCTGAAATATCTATTGTAGATAAAAGCGTAAGGAGGAGAAATTATACAATTGTGGCATGACAAAGTTTTTGAGCTTTTATGAAATTTGAATGTTGCTGCACAGTGTTACAACATTTTGTCAGTAACTGGCTGGTTGGTGAATGCTTTTTTTAAACCCAACTTAATATGTTGACCTCCTTGGCACTGCTGTGCATAATGTAATTGATCTACAATTTTATGTTGTGATTTATTTTACTAGATGAGGAAGGACCACAGACTCCAGACTCCTGCATTGCAAACACACCTATATGTACATTTTTATTTTTTTTATTTATTTTTTATATGAGCTTAGTTTTTCACAGCATACTTTAAAACCAATGTTGACTTAAATCCACTGTTACGTTCCAACAATTTAGTCACACCAAGAACAGAATTTTTCAGTGACAGAACTGGACAAACGGAGCCTTGTGAGTATTTTTTGCAAGCACACTTAGGCATAGCAGATATCTCAGATAGCTGCTAGTAAACCTTTTTTTTATTTTTCAGGTGTTTTCTCAAGTACCTCACAAACAGAGAACTGCATTGCTTCAACATCTGAAATGGAAGAACATTATCAAGGTGAAAGAGATTTCAATGGTTATACTTGCAATTTAAATATATTAAATTGACATTTTTATACAAAAGAGAGGAATGCATAATTGATGAATACTTAATATTAGTTTATGCATATTGAGGTAATGTTTAATTTTAAAGTACAACCTATTAATTGTAATATTTTATTCTTTAATCTCAGTAGACAACATGTCAGACACACTTACGATAGACAAAACTCCCAGCACCAATGTGGGTGAGTATTAAATTTGCCCTGCGCTGTTAATTTATTCAATAAATATGCTTAAATATAATTTAGTAAATCCTTGACATGTTGGTAGCCTAATGTAAAATGACTGCAA